GGCGATTGTAGGAACTGGCCATTCGGTAACAACTTGAATTTAACATGGTCGACTGCAACTCCTTTTTTTGATATGATGTGCCCCAAGAAGTCTACTTGTTTTACTCCAAACGGGCATTTTGATTCTTTAGCAAATAGGCAATTAGACTTCAAAATTCGTAAGACAATATGTAGATGAGAAATGTGTTCCTGCCATGACTTGCTATATACCAATATATCATCGAAGAAGACCAAAATAAACTTACGGAGGTAGGATCGGAAAAGATCATTCATTAAACTTTGGAATGTTGCAGGCGCATTAGTAAGTCCGAATGGCATGACAACAAATTCATAGTGCCCTTCATGTGTGCGGAATGCGGTCTTTGGTATGTCACTCTCATGAACCCGTATTTGATGGTATCCTAATCTTAGGTCAAGCTTTGAAAAATATCTGGAGTCATATAATTCATCTAGTAATTTATTGATCACCGGTATGGGATATTTATCCTTTATGGTGATGTCGTTGAGAGCTCTATAATCAACACAAAATCGCCAACTTCTATCGACCTTTTTTACCAACAATAATGGAAAAGAAAAAGGGCTTCGGCTAGGATGGATCAGCCCTGAGTGTAAGAGTTTTTGAACCATTTTCTCAATCTCGACCTTTTGGTAATATGGATAATGGTAGGGCCTAACATTGACTGGGCCGCTATAAGGTTGAAGCGGTATTTGGTGATCATGGATACGAGTTGGTGGTAGTTGAGACGGGGGTTCAAACACTTGCTTAAGCTCCTCAAGAATATTAGTAAGGACTGGGGAATGACCCTCTTGGTTTTTGGATGGAGAAGGGATATTAATTGAAAGAGCAAGCTAGAACCACGGATATAATGGCATTCCTTCTCACTGAGAGCCTCCAATCCTGCATGTTTTATGCCTTGAAAACTGTGAATGGTCCCACAATTTTGAAATGTCATGGTCAGGCTTTGGTAATTTGTTTCCACCGTTCCCAGAGTTGCAAGCCATTAAACTCCCAAAACTAACTGACAGGCAACTACTGGTAAAATATAAAAATTAGCCTTAACTTGATATCCTTGAATGTCTAAAGGTATGGCCAGACATTTCCCTGTACAATCGATTTTTTCCTCATTGGCAACCATGACTTGGAATGTCTTATGACGAGTTACGGGTAAGCCACACTTTGTTACCAATGATTGATCCACAAAGTTATGTGTACTCCCTCCATCGATCAAGACCGTGATCTCTCTGCCCCTTAACTTGCCTGGAGTCTTATGGTCTGGGGATGTTCCGTTCCAGCGATGGCATGGAAAAAAAATTCAGGCAGATTCCTTATAACTAATGGTTGCTGCTCGACATCTTGCAAGTCCTCTTCGATGTCTATTATGTCTTCCATCATGAATAGCTGAGGTCGTTGACATCGATGTCCAGGAAGGAATTTTTCATCACAATAATAGCATATCCCCTTTTTCCCTATATTCTCTGGCTTCCTAGCTTGTGACTCGTTTGAAGGGATTGGGATTGTTGTTTGGGCTAGTTCCTTATTTAAGCACAGGTAGGGGACCAAGAACACCAACTGAATTATTATGCCCTAATTTTGGTTGTGGATCGAGCACAGAAGGATGAGGAAAGTTTGTTGATTTTCTTTGTAAAAAGTTTCTTTCTTCAATTAACCTGGCAATGCCGATGGCATCTGAGAGTGTTCGAGGCTATTTGATTTTTACGTCGAGCCTTATCTCGTCACGTAATCCGACTATGAAACATCTAAGAAGAAAGGATTCCGGCAGACCATCTACTCAGTGGGATAATTTCTCAAAAGCTTCTTGGTAAGCTGTGACAGTGGCGGTTTGCTTGAGTCGAGTGAGTGCTTCGGAGGGGTCTTTTATTGTGTTGGCCCGAAGTGGAGTAATAATGCCCTGGTAAAATCTGTCCAGGTCACTGGTCCTTTAAACTTGGAGTACCATCGATGCCATTGGAGAGCAATTTCCTCGAGATGAAAGGAAGCAAGTAAGACCTGTTGATCAGGAGTGATATCATTGAAATCGAAATACCATTCAGCTTTGTAGATCCATCCAGTTGGGTCTTATCCATCAAATTTTGGGAAGGTGAGTTTAAGATGGTGATTGTTATAGTGTGATGATGGTTGAGAGTGACTGGCTGAAGGTCGGCCAATTTGAAGGGATGATTAGGTCGAGGCGAACAGGTTTGTGTTTGGGTTATTGGCATGAGGAATTTGTGATGTTCGCAGGGTTTGTAGTTCCTGCAAAATTGCCTGTAGCGTAGTGTGAACTTCATTAATACTGGATTCACGACATTCCAATATTTCATGAACTTCGTTTCGGAACTTAGCATTGGACTGATTTCGAATAGCCATAGTTAACCAGAACTTGGATCCTATAGGTTATGGGCTCTGATAAGTGAATTTTTATTCGATAGAAGAATAGAGAAGGAAAGAGATGAGAAGGAGAGAGAGAACAAAGTTGCTGTAATTGTTGTTTTTCATTTATTTACTTCTAATGGCTATTTATAGATCAATTACAACGTGATAAGCAAGTAACCCAACAAACTAATCCAGAATCAAGGAATAATAATTCAACTAGGAATTGACAAGAAAGAGTAAATAATCACAGGAGCTATTTTTAAGCAGCCACTACGTGTTCAGCACATTTCATGGCTTCTGTTATTCATTAGCTTTGGACTGGGTCTTCATGCAATCCACGCACATGTCCATCTTCATGCAATCTGCCATCCATGCAATCCATGCACACATCCATCCATGCAATGCACACATCATGGATTTAGATTTGGATTTGGGCTAGGCCAGAAGGCAAGGAAATAGCAGTGAAAATGGGCAGTGTTTTGGACTGAGAATGGTGGTGTTTTGGGCAATGGCTAATACAGGGGAACGATGGTGGATTTGGGCACTGGCTCTGGAAGGTGGTCTTGGGCGATGGCTGAAGGCTATGGAATGGTGGTGATTTTTGGGAGGTAGTTGATTAGTTGCCAGTGTGGAGGCTGTGGTGGTGTCGATGCTACGGGAAGAAGATGAAGTTTGGGTTTGGTTAAGTGGGGGTTGGGTGTGGTGGTGGTGCCGGCAACCACAAGAAAAAGAAATTTTGTTCTTTTTTATTTTTAGTTTAATTGTTCTAATTGTTAATATTTGGAAAAATACAAATATTTGCCCTTTATAATTTGGTCAATTTTTTATTAAATTTTGACTTTTCTGTTCAACTAACGGTCAAATTCAATCCATTTGGACCCCAAATGCACATTTTTGGAAGGTTTGGAACTATGGTTGCATAAAACGAAGATTAGGATAAAGTCCACAACAAATGAAAAAATAGGGACCGCTTTTACAACTTTCCCTAAAATCTATCAATTGATAGCAAGATTGATTTTGTTCACGATGTAGATATATTAATATTGTGTCATCCCGTTGTTTTTCCATAAGTTGCATTTGAATTGAGATATTCATAATTTTTCCTGATCGTGAAGTATAAACTTAAATAAATCAGTTTGTCATTAGTTAATATAAATAAAATCAATTTTAGTTATTGATAGTTAAAAAAAAGACTTAATAATCATTTAAAAACACTCCCAAACATTTTAAGCTCCTGTTTGATTATTTTAATCTAAATCAAAGTCAACAATTAATTTTCATCAAATATTTTATGAAATTAAAATTTTTTAAACACATATTTAATCAAATTTTATTAATATTTGTTAAAATTTTTATTTTAAACCCTACCAAACAAGGGCTAAATTTTGGAATTTTCGATAGTTAAATGTTTCATTAGTCATTGACTTATATATTTGTCACGCTTTATTCAGTGAATTTTAAAATGATTTCGAGCGATCATTAAACTTTAATACGTTGTTTTCTATCACTCACTCACCAATTTTTCAAATGTTATTAATAAATTTTAAAATACTTTTGCGTTGTCACTTCACTTTAACATATTGCACTTCATCACTCACTTACCATATTTCATTAGTTAGTGAACTTGTACATCCTTCACACATTACTCACATAATTTATACACATGTTACACTTTACTCATTGAACTTTAAAATACTTTTGAGTGGTTACTTATTGATTCCAATTGTTCAAAAATTAAAAATTTTGAAATCTCAACTGTCGATTTGACATCGCGGACTCCCCCGTTGTCGACAATCTCGATGTTCTTGTATGATGCTCTTACCTGTATACACTTATTGAAGTTTTCTATATATATATTTTTTATTCATTTATGACACTTTTGATTAAAAAGTTAATTGATTTAAATAAATACATGAAAGTGTAACTTTTATATGAAATAGTTTAATGACATGATTCCTCTTTTTTTTTTTTTTTCCCTTCAATTAGTGTATGGAGGACACATAGAATTTGGTAAAACACGTGGGGTGTGCATAAGAACAATAGGCGTATCAGGTTGCCGAGTTTTTCGGTAGGACGCTTTCGTGGTGGCACCTACGACAACTTAAGCAATGAGGTTCCTGAAGTTAGGGGGGCAACCATTTCAGAGATAGCTAGAATGTTCATCCGCTAAATTGAGCTCGAGCCTCCTCCTCTCCATACGTCAGTTAGCTCAATCCCTTATTTTTTTAGTTTTTTGCTTTGAGAGGATTTCATTAGAGCAAATTAGGATTTAGAGCGGCTCTAAGAAACTCTCTATCTTTAAAGAGCAATTCTACAACTTAAATTTTAAACGGCTCCAGTAGCTTCTTTGAAAGGAGATGGATACTATGTCAAGGCTCAATACAAGATCATAAATATATATTCTGCAACAAAATTCTTGGTCAACACAAGCTTTTTAATGACTATTTTGGAAAGGATCCTATGTATTCTTGAAATTTATTTCGAAGAAGGTTCCGTATGCGCCAATCCCCTTTTTATTTGTATTCAATCCGCCATAGAAACCCATGACCCGTACTTTGTCCAAAGAAGGAATGTAGTTGGAATTCTTTCTTTGTCTTCTCTACAAAAAATTATTCCTGCTTTTGTGGATGGTTGCATATGGAGTTACAGCAGATTTTATTGATGAATACATACTAATTGGTGAAATCAATGCAATTGAGAGTTTCAAAAGATTTGTTAAGGTTGTGGTTTCAATTTTTTCAAATAAATACATGAGAATACCAAACAAAGAAGATGTTGCCAGATTGCTAAAAGAAGGCGAAAAACATGGGTATTTTGGAATGTTGGAGAGCATTGAATATATGCACTGGAAATGGAAAAACCGTCCAGTAGCATGGAAAGGTATGTACGTTGGGCATATTCATGAACATCTATAATTCATGAAGCTGTAGCTTCCCATGATCTTTAGCTATGGTATGTATTTTTTGGGCTGCCAAGATCATATAATAATTTAAGTGTTATAGATAGATCATTTTTATTCAGAGACCTTGTTGAAGGTCGTGCTTCCCTAGCCAACTACTCAATCAATGGTCATAACTATACAATGAGATACTACCTTGCTGATAGTATATATCCTCCATGGTCAACATTTATGAAAACAATTCCATATCAACATTTGGGCATAGCATCCACAAATTTATTTGTAGCCAGTTGAATGGTTGACCAATGGTTTATCAAAGAAACTTGTATTCATATAGATGCAAATTTTTGTACTCATGAAAATATTCTCACAATTGAGTCCAAAAAGCCTTTTGTTTTTGTTCATTTCCGTGTAGTGCATCCAAACAACGTTAAGCCTCGCTGACATAATGAGAAGATCCTTTACCATAGTAAAGTTTCCACATCTTAATCTTTTAGGCCATGTTTGATAGAGGTTAAATTCCATGAAAAATGGAAATTATTTTCCAACTTCCACTTTTTATGGTGTTTGATAGACTTTTTTATTTTTTGCAATGAAAAAATTCTATTCATAATTGTTAAAAAAAAATTTCCTTTAATTGAAAATTTCTATGTAAAATAAAGCCAAATGAATACCAAAAAATAGATGATTTTTTTTGGTCAATAGAAACAAATTCTATCCCCAATACCAATAAATTATATCCCTTTAATTGACAGTTTCATGTAAAATAAAGCCAAACGAACACCAAAAAATACTTTTATTTAAACATTTTTCACGTGAAAAATTATACCAATCAAACACAATAATTTACAATTCCCAACAAAATAATTTCTAGGCAATTCAATTCCATGAAATTCGTTTTCTTTCCACCCAAATTCCATTTTTGCAATCAAACGGACCCTTAGAGTTGGGTTCCTATGTAGTATTTGACACATGGAATTAATCATTAAAATTGGGATATCGGGTTGAAAACTGTGGGTTTTCATTTGTATCATTATATTGATTTTCATCCTTGTTGGTTTAAATATCCATGTTGTAGAAAAGAGAAGATATATGTGCAACATGTATATAGAACACGTCTGAAAACAAATACGTGGATTCAAGAAATAGCCGTTGTAATGATTCAATTAAAAGATATTGAGATTTGCATTTATTATTTAATTTAGTCAATAAACTGTGCATTGGAAGTTGGAATTTTTGAAGCATTAAATTGTAGAGAGTTGGGTTTGGCTCTCCAAATTTGGAGAGCCAATCCACACTCTATTTTAAAGTATTAAATTGAATAGTCTCTTGGAGTAAAATTTTAAAGATTGACTTTTTAATTAGAGAGCATTCCACTCTAAAGAGTCTCTTAGAGATGTTCTTAGGAGTTAGCTTTTGAAATTCACACACACACACACACATTGATTTTACAATTGATTATAAAAGATTAGAGTTTTAAAGAAAGAAAATATTTTACTGATGAATTGATGAAGGCATAACTATATGTACTTTAGGAAGAACACATCTGAAAAAAAATGATGGAAATTCAGCAAGAGCAACTGATGGAAATTAGAGCACTGTTTTATTTCTCTGTAAAAATGACAAACTTTACAACCTACATTTTACAATGACTTGCGTACATTTAAATACAAAATCTCCAATCTCTATTCTAGGAAATTAGCCAACATTTTGCATTTATAAAAGTAGTAGGCTAATTTCATGGTTATACAAAAATAACATTTACAGAAAATTGATTGGCTGTTACAGGTATGATTATTGGCTATCTTGCTGGTTTTGATTCTTGGCTTGATTTGTGGTGGCTGATTTTTGCTCCTTGGCTTGATTAGTGGAATCTTCCTTCATGATCGAGCAATTGCCCTTTATTTTTTCGAGCTCCAAGAAATTGGATTTGTGCCAAGGAAACATATATAAGCAGAGGTTGAAGTTCTATCATCAAAGTTCCTTGCCCAATCTGCATCGTTGTATGTGGTAAGAGTTGACGGACTGAATTTTCTGATTTGAATTCCATGAAAAATTATTTATTTCAAGTAACGAAGGAGCCTCTTCGCAGCCGTCCAATGAGTTGTATTGGGTTTATGCATGAACTGAGAGAGTTTATTTATCGCAAATGAAATGTCTGGCATTGTAAGAGATAGATATTGAAGATCACCTATAACACTCCTAAATTTTGTGCTGTCAACGGAGCTGGTTCCATCAATGAGTTTGAGGGTTGTAGTGGTTGATAATGGTGTGGATGCATCTTTTGAACCGAGCATATTACTTTTGGATAGGATATCTCTAATGTATTTATGCTGAGACAAGAAGAGACCAGATTTAGTAGGTATAACTTCCATCCCAAGGAAAAAATTTAGTTGTCCCATATCTTTCAAAGAGAAATAATGTCCAAGTTTTGTGATTACTGAAGCAACAAATTGAGTATCACTGCCAGTTATGACTAAGTCATCCACATATACTAGCAGAAAACATGTAACTGAGCTGGTTCTGTATATAAATAATGAAGAATGTGCTTTAGAATTCATAAACCCAAGCTCTGTAATGGTTTTCTTGAGGGCCGAATGCCAGGCTCTTGGTGCTTGTTTTAGGCCATAGATGGCCTTGTGTAACTTGCAGCCATGGTTAGGCTAGATGTATCCTTGAACCTCGGAGGTTGAACCATGTAAACATTTTCAGTCAACATCCCATGTAAGAATGCATTGTTGACATCAAGTTGTCTTAAAATCCACCCTTGCATAATAGCAATAGTCAAGACGGTTCTTATTGTTGCCGGCTTTACAATCGGACTAAATGATAATCTAAGCCAGGGCGTTGGTTGTACCCTTTGGCCACAAGTCTTACTTTAAAGCGATCAATAGACCCATCAGCTTTCCCCTTAACTTGAAATACCCATTTATAGCCTACTGGTTTGCAGTGTGTAGGAGGAGGAACTAAGTCCCACGTACCATGCCTCATCAATGCAGTGAGTTCTTCAGACATAGCATGTCTCCATTTTGGTTCACGGAGTGCTTGACTCACACAGTTTGGTTCAATGATTGGTTGAATAAGATGTTCTATGACTGAGTTTAACTGTTTCGGCTTGTAGATGTTGTTCATGGACTGAGTGGTCATGGTGTGAGTTCAAGTTATCTCAGGAGGTGGGTTATTGACTACGAACTCGGTGATTTCTATACAAGGAGTTTGTTTATCCATGGTGAGTAAGGGACTTGAGTGAGTAGACTCACTTGTGTGCGACTAGTGTGGTGTGATCGAAGAAGTTGAGTTTAAATTGGGGAAATTTCGAGGAGAGAAATTAGAGGAATTACTAGAGGGTGCAGCGGAAGGTGGTGAGCTCTCAAACTGTACTGACGATGGTTGTGGCATGGGAATCATCGACATAGGTAGCATAGATGGCGAGGATTTAGTGCCAAGTTCTTAGGTCTTGATGGGACTTTTGGTTTCATCGAAGATAACATGCCGAGAGAGATACGTACATTTTGTGTTCATATCAAGGCACTTCAATACGTTTTGGGTTTGGGAATAGCCTAAGAATAGGCATGGGATAGATTTAGGCTGGAGTTATTTGAGTTGTAGGGTCGGATTAGAGGAAAACAGAGGCGACCAAATTTTCTTAACTTGAGATAATTTGGTGTTTGTTGAAATAAGGCTTCAAATGGTGATTATTTTTTAACAATTGTGTTGGTTGTCGGTTAATAAGATAAGTAGCCGTTTCAAAAGCATGTGGCCAATATGATAGGGGTAGAAAAGCATCTTGTAATAAGGTTAATCATGTTTCAACAAGATGACGGTGACGACGTTCGAAGTCCCCATTTTTTTGTGGTGGATGGGGTGTCGTGGTATAGTGGCTAATTCCCTGAAATGAAAGATAATTTTTGAGTGCCACAAATCCACCACCATTATCGGAATAGAGACTTTTGATTCTTTTTTGAAAGCGATTTTCCACAAGATTTTTAAATTGTGGAAAAATGGTGCTTACATCAGATTTTTTTGTTAAAGGGTAGAACCACACATATTTGGTAAAATGGTCGACCAAAATCAAATAATATTTAGAACCATCGATACCAATTATATGCGCGGGACCCCAAACGTCGGTGTAGATGAGATCAAGGGGTGCATTGCTTTTTAAACTAGTGGAACGAAATGGTTGCTGGTGTGCTTTATTCATTGAACAAGAAATACAAATATGAGACACTTGGTCTTTTTTTATTGGAAGGGAAAAAGATTTGATAAGATAATGAACAACTTTTTGAGATGGATGTCCAAGCCTCTTGTGCCACCCATCAATCGATGTTCGCTCATGTACATTTGCAACCATTTTTGAAGGAGAGTCCGTCAGGGAGTCTGGGAGCGTGTAAAAACCATTTTCACATGCACCTTTGAGTAAAGTTGCCCCCGTAGTCTAATCCTTGACAATAAAATAAATGAGATGAAATTCAAGAAAAACATTATTTTGAGTAGTAAAGTGATGAACGGAAATCAAATTTTTGCGGATACTTGGAACACAAAGTGTATCATTTAAATGAAAGGTACATGTTGGTGATTGAAATACCAAAAAACCAATGTGTGATACACGCAAACCTGAACCATCGCCTATTACAACTTCATCTGTCCCACCATATTCCAAGTGCATTGAGAGGTTTGCCAAATCACCCGTAATATTATGTGAAGCGGCAGAATTAATGAGCCACTTAGTGTTATGCTGTTGAGAGGTGGAAACACAATTTGCAGTAGCTTCAGGAAAAGTCACTCATGGACACTACTTTGCAGTGTGACCCAATTGGTCCCAAATTTGACATTTGGGCTGGAAGCGTCGTTGGCTGTTGTACCAGCCCAAGTTGTTTTGCTTCTTGTTATCACGTGGCCAATTATTTGGGAGTGATTGGGCCACGGACCCTTTAAAGATATGTTGCTTATTTGGACCCCAAAAGGAGTTGTCGTTGCTTCTAGATGAAGAGGAAGAACCTGGATGCCGGTTTGTGTGGTTGGCCGTGGCTAGTAGCTGCTGTGTTGAGACTTCAAGACGACGCAGGTATGTCTCATGACCTATGAGAAAATCATGTAGTTCCTCAAAGGTGAGGGATTTTTCCCTAGCTCTAATGGGTACAGCAATCTCTCGATAATCAGAGCCGAGACCATTGAGAATGTATAAAGTGAGATCATCATCTGAAATTGGATGATCAATGAGTGCTATTTCATCAGCAATAGAGTTCACTATATGCAAGTATTCCTGGATGGTTTGATTGCCCCGTTTCATTAGTGTTATTTCATGTTTGAGTTGCATAGCCCTGGTTCGAGATTTTCTAGCATAGAGGGTGTTTAATTTTTTCCACGCCTCCAGAGAAGTTTTGGCAAACGAAATGAGAAGGGTGATGGTCGTTACAGTGGATGCTAGGATAACACTTAGGATTAGTTTATCCTGCCTTACCCAATGTGTTTTTTGAAGGGATGATGAGGGTTGGTCAGTTTGATGCGGGCAAGGTTTTTCTCTAGTGACGTAGTCGAGGAGGTCGTACCCAATTAGAAGAGCTTCAAATTAGGCATGCCACTATGGGAAGGTTGAGGGAGTAAGTTTGTCATTGATTTGTGCTGAAACGTTGAGAGCAATCAAGGGGATATCTGTTGGGGATGAAGGATTTTGAGTGGGGTTAGATGAAATGGGTTTCAAACTCTCGTGAGAGAATGGTTGCTCTGATACCATGATGGAAATTCAACAAGAGCAACTGATGGAAATTAGAGCAGTGTTTTATTTTTCTGTAAAAATGACAGACTTTACAACCTACATTTTACAATGACTTGCGTACATTTAAATACAAAATCTCCAATCTCTATTCTAGGAAATTAGCCAACATTTTGCATATACAAAAGTAGCAGGCTAATTTAATGGTTATACAAAAATAACATTTACAAAAAATTGATTGACTGTTACAGGCATGATTATCGGCTATCTTGCTGGTTTTGATTCTTGGCTTGATTTCTGGTGACTGATTTTTGCTCCTTGGCTTGATTAGTGGAATCTTCCTTCATAACAAATACATGGATTAAAGAAATAGCTGTTGCAATGATTCAATTAAAAGATATTGAGATTTACATATAGTATTTAATTTAGTCAATAAACTGTGCATTCGAAGTTGGAATCTTTGAAGCATTAAATTATAGAGAGTTGGGTTTGACTTTCCAAATTTGGAGAGCCAATCCACGCTCTATTTTAAAGTGTTAAATTGAAGAGTTTCTTGGAATAAAATTTTATAGATTGACTCTTTAAAATAGAGAGCATTCCACTCTAAAGAGTCTCTTAGAGATATTCTTAGAAGTTAGCTTTTGAAATTCATACACACACATAAGGATGGCAATTCACCCATCCCGCCCTGTCCCGAATGGGTTGGCGGGACAAGGCGGGACGAGGATGCTGCGTCCTGAACCCGCCCTATGAAAAAAAAAATTTTAAAAATTAAAAATAATTTTATTTTTAAATAATTTACCCGTTAAAATTTCATTTTGAATTTGTATTTTATTTTCTAATAATAACATAATTCGAAACTTTCAAAATGTAAAAAAATAAAAAAATTAAACGGGACAACAAATAGGAAAAATATTATTTATTTTTTCTATTTGTTTATTTAAAGATAATGATAAATTAATAATTTTATGATATTAGAATAGAGAATATAGATGATAAGGACATGCTAAACAAAGAAATGTCGATCTAAGTATCCAAATATCAAAATTGAAACAATAGAGACTATTTGCATAATGAAAGCAAATGATAGAATGTTTTGTTCCAAATTACACGTATTTAACGGAAGAATTTAATGGAATATAACGAAAAGGACCAATTTAACAAGAAATATTTGAAATGAGGGAGCAAATGCCAAATTTGAAACAATAGAGACCATTTTTCATAATGAGTACAAACGACAAGGATATTTTTATTTTGGTAATTATCCTTTGTCAAACACAATGTTAGCGTCTCGGGAGTGATGAAAAGCTGCAAAGATGGTTGGTTAGAAAGAAATTCCCATTAAGAATGGGGAGCGTAGGCGAGGGGGAGTACTTTGTGGTTGATTATTCAACGAGATATGAAATATTTAAACTCCACGAGATGAATTTAATGGGAGTCAGAGTGTCTACTTACTAGAATAAAGGAGAGGTCATTAATGATAGAAAAATGCTAGTGGTACATAATAGAATGTACCTAAGGGTGTACATCCCCCTCACATGGGGTGTGGGGTCCACTCGAATAAATGTTTTTTATTCGGGTGGATCCCACACTCCATGTGAGAGGGGTGTACACGCTTAGGTACACCCCTGTGTACCACTAGCAACACCGTGAATGATATGTATAATGGAGCTGTCATAGTGATATAGACTAACAGAAATCGTAGCAGAGCAATTCCTCTTGCTATAGTCTTGCATTAAGATTTTACTCGAAGTACTTATGTTTTGGTTTAGTTCATAAGACATATCCAAGATACATATATGGAGCATGTTAATGGATATGCTCGATCATTTGCACGCAGTGTTTCTAAAATTTGATTGTAGATAAAAAAAAAATTTGTATGCATTCTAGAGATGGGGCATAAAATTCATACTCATCTTTGTCAACGATCGAATCCAGTTGAAACACGAGCTCTTGTGATCTCATTTAACAAATCATCCATCACTTTTGTAGCTTTTTGTACAGCATGCGGGGAAGCTACGGTAGTTGGAATATGAAAGCGAGAAGCAATATATGAGAAAAAACAGGGAGAAGTATCAAGTTAGACATTGAAACTTTGTAATCATTCGAAATTGGTTTGTCTCAAATTCCAAGAGTTTGTGTGAAATTCGAACTTTTCAAAAATTGAATTTTGCCTACAAAACTTGCGATCTTCTTCATTAATCTCTTTACTTCTAATCACTTTCGTACCATTCAATTAATCTGTAATTGCTTTGAACCGTCCCAAGGAATGTGTCGTTAAAGAGTATGTAAAAGTTGTGGATTTTAAAAATATATGAATAAAAATAGAATTTGATTAAATTATAATAATTATAAATTTTGACAACGTGAGCATAAAATTAAGGACCAACTCGAAATTTAAACTTTCAAATAACAAATTTGTGAACTTTCCTTAGCTGAGAAGGAGCCCAAGTCTATTCGTTCAATTATTGTTTAAACTTTAAGCGGCCAGGTGAATTTTTCTGGTCCAAGAGCCTCTCAATATTTAACGAGCATATACTCTACAAAAGCATATATAAAGTTGGAGAATAAAAAATTTTAAGTAATCCGACGAACTTTTTGTATTTAACATTTAGAGGGTGTTTGAGTCACATTATTTTGATAATAATGTATTTTTGAATAGTATATTGATAAAAAATGTATTGGTAAAAAATAAGGAAAAGTTTTTTATCTGCGTGTAATATTATTTTATTGAAGAATGTGTGATTGAAATAATGTCAAATCACTGTTTAATAATGTATTTTTTTGAAATAATGTGACTCAAAGAGGCCCTTAATCTTAATTTGAGCCCCTTTTTTTTATATATGTTTTTGAATAGTAATTTTTAGAAAACATGTGATTAAAAAATAAAAAAATTTAGATATACATGTAAAATTATTTTATTGAAAAATGTAATTAAAAATGAATTTTTGATAAAATAGGGCTCAAACAAGGATTTAATTTTAGGTTGATGCTACAATTACATTAGAATGTCTATAACGATATTCACATTTCTCACATGGAGGGAACCCATTTCGAATAAAATATAATTTATTTGAAGTGCTCTACATGTGAGGGAATGAACATCGTTATGGACATCTTTATATACTTTCTTTTCATTAGTTTCTCTCTAAATTATTATATTATTTTTTTCTATTAAAAATTAAATACGTTGAACGTATTTATTATGGGGAATGAATTTGACTCTTTAGTTATTTTAAAATATTAATTTAAGAGATCTTTTAAGGATTATTCTTTTAAAACGAATAGCATTTAGAAACATGCTCTAAAAATACCCGAGTCCACTGATTCACTTGTACTGTACCGAATATATCATCACTCCACCGGCGGTGGCATCGCCCAATCCATTCACGGTACAATTTATATCTCTTCCCTCTTTACATGGGCTTTTTTACATTTATATATATAAGAAAATTATACTTTCTTACATATGTAAGAAAATTTGAAGGGTAAACAGAAATTTTAACAAAAGGAGGGCATAGTTGAAGGCACGTTGAGAAATTTTGTAGTGATTTTGGATTTGGTTATGGTGATCTCTTTTATCTCCTAGACAATGATCAGTTTCGGAGAGATCTCGTGGACGGTTAAAAAGGTTTGATTCTGTAGGCTTAGTGCGTTTTCCGATGAGGGAGATGTGTCAGACATGCGATGTGCTGTGATCAATACTCTTTCAATCAATCATGGTATGGATATATTGTGGTGTCAAAATGGATACCCGCCGGGGCCCACCGGTGCCTTGGCCAATACCAAGGTACCAAATGAACACCCCGTTAAACACACAGTGTACCACAAGTATTATTCATACTCTTTTACTTTCTAATTTCTAACACACAAGGAACGCCGTCTGCACACGTCTAAGACAATAAGCCCCATTTTGTAAATTTTGGGATATAAATGAAGGAAAATGTTATCTTCTAAATTATATGTAAAGAATTAAAGCAATCTGAGAAAAATTGTAAGAACTTCATGTTGAATTTGTTTGTGTCTACTATATGCACGCCATTTTCTTGATAGTAATTTTGATGTTTTTATTACTTGTGTGATTTTCTGGTCATTACAGAATTGTCTTTTCCAATAACACTGCATAATGGAGTTTGCGCCGCTCCAACCTGTTGATAGGATAAGCAACCTTCCTGAAAATGTAATAGCTGACATTCTAATGTGTTTGCCTACACGTGATGCTGCAAGTACAAGTATCTTATCAAAACAATGGAGGTATAAATGGGTCAAACTACCTCATCTCATATTTGATGTTACCGTGTGGCAAGAACTCGAGGTAGATGAGAGAACTATGAGGTTCTTTCTGTTCCTTTACGAGGTTCTTTTACGTCACCAAGGACCCATAACAAAGTTTAGTCTCGTTATTCCAAGGCTTAAAAGCTGTTCACATATTGACCACGTGATCAATTTCTTATCAAATTATGGTGTTGAAGAATTCATCTTTGAAATCTATAAGGGATATAGAATTCCGTCTTCACTGTTTATGTATTTACAGCTGAAACGTTTGACACTTTCTGCTTGTTTGATCAATCCTCCTCCAGCCTTTAAAGGATTTAATAGACTGGTTAGGATGGAATTGTGTGATGTCATCATTGATGCTGAAGTACTACAAAGTTTGATATCTAGCTGCCTGTTACTGGAGCAACTGTTGCTGGATTTCCGAAATGAATTTGATTTCTTGGAAATTGATGCTCCTATGCTAAGACTCTTTCATCTTCGACGTTTCTTTTGTTCGTCTATTTGTATAAAGAGATCCCAACATCTTGCAACAGTTAGAGTTACTTCTCGCCAGCATATAATGGCTGACGAATTCAATTATGGAAACTGTAACTTCGTTGGGTTCTTTGATTCTCTTCCTGCCCTTCATAAACTGTGCATGGACTTCCATTTTATGCTGGTATGGTTGATTATAAATATAATCATGTGAATTCAAGCTAATATGTTCGATCATAGTTTTTCCACCTGCTTTCTAGGCCTTTATCTGCAGGTCAGGTCCAAAAGGTGCTTCCAACTACTTTAATCAACCTTAAAATTCTGAAGCTACTCCGTATATCTCTATATTCAGAGGACGAATTCTCGTGTGTTCTTTGCTTGATCAGAAGCTCCCCCAACCTTGAGAAAATGACGATCAACGCGGTAAGTAATGGACGTGGTTATTTCAATTTACATTCTTCTATATCCTGATTTGAACTAAAAATTTAAGCTAACTAATTTTTTTGTCATATTTCATAGATTTCAGGTTGGGAAAATACTGTTGCAAGCCCTGTTCCAGACTTTCTAAAAGTGCAAGAGTACTCAGATGTACTTTTAAATCAACTCCAAGAAGTGAAGCTAGAATCCATTTCTGTCGGAGTTTCTGAGATGACACTCATTAAGCTTTTATTGGACAAATCGCTGAAGCTAAAGAGAATGGTGATCCGGCAGGAGAGCGGTTGGTACAGGCCTAGCATTGAAAGAGTTAATGTGATTTTGAAAGAGATAAACAAATTTCGGCGTGCATCGCCAAGTGCTAAGGTCATTTATGAAAATTAAGATGAAAATAAACTTTGATAGCTGGATGAATATATCTCAGAGATCAGGAGTACTTTACTTTCGGTTTTGCAACATGGCTTTCTGAAATTAGAAATGTTTTTGCTGGATGATGGAAGGCAGTGTTGGCTAAATATGAGATTTCAAGCCATATCAAGAAAACACTTCCTAGATTACAGTTTTGTGCGCAAATAGATCTACTTAAATGCAAGTGAACTTATGATCTTATTTTCATGATTTTCTTCATATATATGAAGTTTTCACTGTAATAATAGTTTAGGATAAGATTTGGGTTTAATGATGTAATATTTTGAAATTATACATGTAGGGTATGAAAGTTTATCCTCGTAAAATATAAGTCATATATTTTTCGGCTGTGAAAAGTAGCGTGTAAAATTTATATTAATCGTCCCTAATTAGAACACTTCAGAAAAATCTTTCTAATTCAATTATATCTACGAACTTCATATTGTTATCTAATTCAAGAATTAGAGAATCATTATTCAAGAACGTTGACATAAATTAATGTCGGCATTTTATTGATGATGAATGACTACGATTGGATTTATAAAAAGTATGGAGTAAAAATGATTGCTACAAGTTCTTTTTACTTTTAGTTAAAGTACTTAATTAAAAATGACTGTGTTTTTAAATATTAAAGTAATTTATTTTATTTATATAAAAATTATGTTTACTTTTAGGTTATAACTTAATAAGTACATTTCAGTTCACTATCAAATATAAAAGTAGTTTTATTGTCAATTTTATTCTATAAGTAGATGCATAATTACAAATAACAAAGTGATTAATAGATTATGGTTCCCACGAGGACTAATTATATACTTATTTGGACTTTAATTAAACCTAGTTCTATTTCAAGAAAAATAACCTAATAATTTTCAAAGTAAATTTTAACTAATTATAATTATCTACTAACAAAATCAAAACAAACAATTTCTTTGAATTAATCATATTACAAAACACACTTGAATCCCAAATTTACTATCTTTAACATACTTTAACCTTTAACTACCTGTTTATAGCCAATTCTTTTTTATGTTACCGATCGATATTCCTTATGTGTTAGTTTTGTTAGTTTTATTTCCCTACGTAAATTAAACCGATTCTTAAATTGTTCAGAAATTGTGTTAATTTATCTTTGTATCATTTTTAGTCTCTTAGCGGAATCATACATTTTATAGTACACATTGATTTTTGCCGAATTCCGTTGACACTTCAAACAAAGACTTTAGTTTGCGTGAAATACCCAGGAAAGAGAGGTATGAAACAAAAGAATGAATTATTGCCATTTTGTCTGTATGTTTGGAATAAAGTCCTACGCTATTCAAGTTGCAGCAGCATCTAATTATTATTTTTATTGTTTTTTCTGAAGAGTTTTGAAGACTTGGGTTGTTTCATCATTTGCAATTATTCATGGAGTGGGTGAAAAGAAAGATAAGGTTCTTGAAAAGGAGGAATGAGAAATTATCGCCTTGGTATATTGAAAATGGAGGCAAGGTGTTAGAAGGGCTTATTGCTTTCTCTAATGGTAGGTATGATATTCCTTATCGCGTCTTTACCGTTGAAGAACTTAATAAAGCAACAAACGTCGATTTCCCTAGTCTTCGAGATAGCGATTCCAGATCTGTTATGTGGGATGCATGGGGCTATTACATCAGCGGCATTTTTCAACAAAGGTCTATTCTGGTGAAGAAGTTCCGTAGTTCTGGTTTAGGAGACGAAATGCCGTCCCTTGCTGTCAACGACATAGTATTCACGGTGCTGATGAACCGCCACAAAAATGTTTTGAAGGTCTTGGGTTGCTGCTTAGATTTGGAAACACCTGCTATTATCTATGAAATCGGGTTGAACCATGGACTTTTGAGGGACCTTCTTTTTAATGGCAATAATACCGATAGATCACTCTGTTGGAGCAATCGACTAAAAATTGCAACAGATGTTGCAAATGCTGTTGTCTATCTTCATACTGCATTTCCCACACCTATCATCCATAGAGATCTAACCACAAGAAACATTGTCATAGACAATAATGGCGTTGCTAAGCTTTTCGATTTCTCACTCTGCGTAGCATTGCCTCCCGGAGAATCACAGATGGAAGTAGGATTAGCTGGGACGCATGGACATATTGAACCTGACTACGTGCAAACAAACATTATCACAGAAAAGACTGATGTCTACGGTTTTGGAATTATTCTCCTTCAACTATTAACTGGTCGTCATCTTCGCAATCTAGATGATGAACATCCTTGTTTAGAGGATTTTGTAGAACACCACGTTGAGAAGAATGAGTATAGTAAAATTTTGGACCCAATAATTTTAGGGGAGATAGGCGAAATAGAGCATCAATTGCAGGCTTTCACAAGACTTACTTTGAGATGTACTGTTGTCAGAGGAGCAGATAGGCCTTACATAATCGATGTGGCAAAAGAACTAGTAAGGATTCAGAGGTCTGTTCATCCCACTCAAAGGAGCAGCAGATAAGCCATATTGTCAAAGATATTATGTTATTGGGTAAAACAATTTCTAGCTTGGGTTCAGACTTCAGAGGTCTGTTTATCCCACTCAAAGGAGCAGCAAAAGAACTAGCAAGGATTCAGAGGTGTGTTAATTTGTTATTTTGTTTGGGTAAAACACTTGATGCTTACCAGTAATGTATGAACGTTTACTCGAGATAAGCTGTAGACTTGTGAAAGATCTGAGCACGAAACTTGTGATCTTGTTTGCTGATGTTTTCCATTATGAAACTGTTGTCTATAACAATGGTTTGTAATAAGATTTTGTTATAATGATGCACATATTTTATTTAGATAGAAAATTTAGAGTATAGATGGAATCAACAGTCCAAATAATGAACAAATTTCAAGTTTAAAGAACAAAATATGAGAGGTTGAGACATGAAAATTAGAAACTTTCCAGCACTATTGCACGAAGGTCGGGAGAGGTGAAAACATTCCTTGAAATATATATTTGATGTATCATTTAAACCTTCTCTGAGAACATTTTCTTATAGTAGAGAGGAGGGTGAAATATATGTTCAAAGACTCTAGTTCAAGTCATTCAAGCATACTTCTGTGATAGAAATTATAGTAACCAATGAACTGTAACTAAAATGCCCTATATAGTTGAATGCATTAACCTACAAGGAAAAAGTAAATTTCATCCTTAATATATTAAATTGATTGCATGTGTCGTTTATATGCAAAAGAAATGTTTCCTTTCTTTTGTTGCTTTAAAAAAAAAAATGGAACTAAAAATTTGCTCAATTAGAACACGTCAAAAAATCCGTCTAAACAATTTATTTCGTTGTGAAATTAAAGAATTCTGAATCCCCTTCGGCAGGCGCTTTGTAGCTTTCCTAGAATCATTGTTCAAGATCGTTATCATACATTTATGTCCATAAGACCAGGTAGGCACTAACTAGGTATGGAGACAGGCAAACAATAGCAAACTAAAGCACCAGTTAGTTCCAAAATGGTTGATGCTGCTAAATCAAGTGAGAACGACATGGGCAATAAGCCAATGAGGAATAGTCTAGTAAAACCATATGGGAAAAAAGAACCTCTGCACACTTGGGTTTATCCTTGAATGGGATCTAAACATTTCAGAAAATAAAAATAAAAAATCAAGAGAAAAAGAAAAAGATGAAAGCATATATGCTTAAAATGAAAGATGAGATCAATTTTAACATAAAAATGGAAGTACATATGCTTTTGATGTTCTATAAATAACGAGATGCATTATAAATATTGATGAGCTCCACATATAGCTCTCGGCGTCAAACTGTATGCAACAGCACAGAAAAAACAGTGTCTTGAAGTTTTATGACTACCCAAAAATCCAATCTAACTTGCTCAAAAAGTGTACACTAGTCTTCCAATTTAAGACACAAAAACTCAGGTACTGGCCATTTCCGACTCACCAGAATCGACCTCGTTAGTGTCAATAGGAGCCAAGCCCAGATCCTCCACAAGCTTCCCCAAACCTTCAACAAATTAGGGGGATAACAAGGGCCCTGCCTCGCCCCCGTTTGATTTTTTTATTTATTTTTCTTTTTATTTTTTAAGAATTCAATACTTCAAATAGAAAAAACTTTACGAATTTTCATTAATTTTAATAAAAGATAGCATCTAAAATTATCTAAGGAATATAATAAAAAATAAAAAACATTAGTTTACTAAATATATTAGAATCTTTTAACTTTTAAAAATTAATTAATTAATTAAAAAATAAGAATGCGTTTGGTTTGTCATTTTAAGGCAATTTTCAATTTTTAAAAACACTCGAACGTATTTTGTATATTATTTTCAAAAATGCAAAAAATTTATGATACAAAACTCAAAATGACTTTTTAACGTTTTGAGAACACTCAAAAAACTCAAAACAAGGAAAATGAACTTAAAATTTCCGAAATTAAAATAATTAATAAAATCACACAAAACTTACCTAAATACAAATACCCCTCTCCCTCTCTCTATCTCTCTCTTTCCAAGTTCCTCCAAAATGTCATAAAATTATTTCTAAAGTTTTTAAACCAAACGTGTTTTCCAATTTTTTGTTTTGAGAAATAGTTTTTCAAATGACAAATCAAACACTTTTTTGCAACTTAAAATAATTCCTTTAAATAGAAAATACAAAATGAATTCAAAATTGAAAACAAAAAATAGAAATGCAAGTCAAACGCCCCCTTAATAACTATATTATTGTCTCACCTGAATGAATATAGACAATAAAATGAATTAAAAAATAAACGGGTATGTAAACGGGACACCCCGCCCCGACCCCGTCCCATTTAAGGCAAGGCGGGTACGGGACAGAAAAATGCCCAACGAGGCGAGCAGCTCGTTTTGCCTTGAACTCGTCCCATTGCCAACCCTAACTTGTTCACACTTAAAGTAAATCTGGCTCTCTTTCAAGAAAAATAACCTAATTATGTTTAAACTAGATTTTAACTAATTATAATTATCTACTAACACAGTCAAAACAAACAATTTCTTAGAACTAATGATATTAGAAAACACACTAGAATCCCGAATTCACTGTTGTTAACATACTTTAATCTTCAACTACCTGTTGATAGCTGGTTCTCCATACATAAAATGGAATTTAAAGATGAAAAGAGCTTCTGAGTTTTGGATGACAACTTTTCTTTTTCATAAGTAAAACGTGCATTGGATCATTATTTTCCTCCTATGATCGACTTATCTATCCATTCAAGGTCGATATGTTATTTCCTTTTACTTTATAAATAAAAAAAAAAAGTTACTTATTTTCAACTTCTACCATTAAAAGAGTTTATATTTTTAAACTTACTTATTTACTTGTAAGTAAACCTTTTAACCTTAGCCAAACATGCTCAGATTGCACATCTGGCTAAAGTTAAAAATTTAACACTATATTTATTTCTAAACATTTCTTTTGAAGGAAGCAGAATGCTATTAATTTAACACCATAAATATATTAAAGTAATTTATTTTATTTATATAAAAATTATGTTTACTTTTAGGTTATAACTTAATAAGTACATTTCAGTTCACTATCAAATATAAAAGTAGTTTTATTGTCAATTTTATTCTATAAGTAGATGCATAATTACAAATAACAAAGTGATTAATAGATTATGGTTCCCACGAGGACTAATTATATACTTATTTGGACTTTAATTAAACCTAGTTCTATTTCAAGAAAAATAACCTAATAATTTTCAAAGTAAATTTTAACTAATTATAATTATCTACTAACAAAATCAAAACAAACAATTTCTTTGAATTAATCATATTACAAAACACACTTGAATCCCAAATTTACTATCTTTAACATACTTTAACCTTTAACTACCTGTTTATAGCCAATTCTTTTTTATGTTACCGATCGATATTCCTTATGTGTTAGTTTTGTTAGTTTTATTTCCCTACGTAAATTAAACCGATTCTTAAATTGTTCAGAAATTGTGTTAATTTATCTTTGTATCATTTTTAGTCTCTTAGCGGAATCATACATTTTATAGTACACATTGATTTTTGCCGAATTCCGTTGACACTTCAAACAAAGACTTTAGTTTGCGTGAAATACCCAGGAAAGAGAGGTATGAAACAAAAGAATGAATTATTGCCATTTTGTCTGTATGTTTGGAATAAAGTCCTACGCTATTCAAGTTGCAGCAGCATCTAATTATTATTTTTATTGTTTTTTCTGAAGAGTTTTGAAGACTTGGGTTGTTTCATCATTTGCAATTATTCATGGAGTGGGTGAAAAGAAAGATAAGGTTCTTGAAAAGGAGGAATGAGAAATTATCGCCTTGGTATATTGAAAATGGAGGCAAGGTGTTAGAAGGGCTTATTGCTTTCTCTAATGGTAGGTATGATATTCCTTATCGCGTCTTTACCGTTGAAGAACTTAATAAAGCAACAAACGTCGATTTCCCTAGTCTTCGAGATAGCGATTCCAGATCTGTTATGTGGGATGTATGGGGCTATTACATCAGCGGCATTTTTCAACAAAGGTCTATTCTGGTGAAGAAGTTCCGTAGTTCTGGTTTAGGAGACGCAATGCCGTCCCTTGCTGTCAACGACATAGTATTCACGGTGCTGATGAACCGCCACAAAAATGTTTTGAAGGTCTTGGGTTGCTGCTTAGATTTGGAAACACCTGCTATTATCTATGAAATCGGGTTGAACCATGGACTTTTGAGGGACCTTCTTTTTAATGGCAATAATACCGATAGATCACTCTGTTGGAGCAATCGACTAAAAATTGCAACAGATGTTGCAAATGCTGTTGTCTATCTTCATACTGCATTTCCCACACCTATCATCCATAGAGATCTAACCACAAGAAACATTGTCATAGACAATAATGGCGTTGCTAAGCTTTTCGATTTCTCACTCTGCGTAGCATTGCCTCCCGGAGAATCACAGATGGAAGTAGGATTAGCTGGGACGCAAGGACCTATTGAACCTGACTACATGCAAACAAACATTATCACAGAAAAGACTGATGTCTACGGTTTTGGAATTATTCTCCTTCAACTATTAACTGGTCGTCATCTTCGCAATCTAGATGATGAACATCCTTGTTTAGAGGATTTTGTAGAACACCACGTTGAGAAGAATGAGTATAGTAAAATTTTGGACCCAAAAATTTTAGGGGAGATAGGCGAAATAGAGCATCAATTGCAGGCTTTCACAAGACTTACTTTGAGATGTACTGTTGTCAGAGGAGCAGATAGGCCTTACATAATCGATGTGGCAAAAGAACTAGTAAGGATTCAGAGGTCTGTTCATCCCACTCAAAGGAGCAGCAGATAAGCCATATTGTCAAAGATATTATGTTATTGGGTAAAACAATTTCTAGCTTGGGTTCAGAGGTCCTCTTCAAATTTTTTTTTTCGGTCCCCCCCCCCCCCCCCCCCCCCAATGAGTTTTGACGACTTGAGGCCCTGTTTGATAACCTTGAAATTCTAAGGAAAATGGAATTTAAATTTCATCTTTTCAATTTTGCTGTGTTTGATTGGCAAAATTTGGAATGGAATTTATTTTCGATCTTCTATGGCCACATTAGCTAATTCCACCAAATGGTGGGAATTTCAATTCCATGTTTCCACGTCTTTGTTCATTTTTTATTTTGCAATTTAAACAAATTCTAAGAATTATTGTAACAAATTCTTTCCCTTTAAATGATAATTCTCATGTAAAACAAAGTCAATGGAAACAAATTTTATCCCTGATACCAGTAAGTTTTATCCCTTTAATTGATAATATTCATGTAAAATAAAGCCAAACGAACAGCAAAAAATAATTTTATTTCAACATTTTCCACTTTGGAAAATTATACCAATCAAACACAATAATTTACAATTCCTAGGAAAATAATTTCTAGGCAATTCAATTCCATAAAATTCGTTTTCAATTCCATCTTTACAATCAAACGGATCCTTAGTGAATTTTGTAAAAAACCACGTTGACAAGAATGAGTTAAGTAAAATATTGGACCCAATAGTTTTAGGGGAGATGGGCGAAATAGAGCATCAATTGCAGGCTTCCGTGAGACTTGCTTTGAGATGTACCCTTGCTAGAGGTGTAGATAGGCCATACATAATCGATGTGGCAAAAATAGTAAGGATTCAGAGGTCTGTTCATCCAGTTTAGCGTACTCGCTATATCGTCAAAGATATTTATGTCGTCGGTTAAAACACTTAATAGATTGTGTGTTAAGTTATTATTTTGTTGGGAGATCTGAGCATGGATCTTGTTATTTTGTTGGCTGATGTTTTATGTTATGGAAGTGTTGTCTATAACAATGGTTAATGATAAGATTTTGTTATAATAATGCATACGTTGCAAATATACAAGAGGGTATAATTAGATAGTACGACTAGTGACAATTTTATTTTATACAGAAAATTTAGAGCATACATGAGAGCAAAGAAAGTTTAGGGTCCAAATAATGAAAAATAAAAATAAAAATAAAGACCAAACTCAATTTCAAAGAACAAAATATGAGAGGTTGAGATATAAAAAGTTAGAAATTTTCTTGCACTATTGCTCGAAGGTTGGGGACCCGAGGTTAAGATTTCCCTTAAAATTTATATTTGATGTATCGTTTAAATCTTGTAAGAACATGTTCTGATAATAGAGGGGAGAGTGAGAAATCTATACCCTATCGAGACTCAAGTTCAAGTCATTCATTACAGTTACATACTAACTCTTGACTAAAATGCCCCATGCAACGGTATGCATTTAAACCTCCCAAGGAAAAATGTCATAATTAATTAAATTAATTTCATGTATCTTGGAATGCTTGACTATTTCATTTATGCAAAAGAAATGTGTCGTTTCTTTAAAAAAATAAAAAAACTAAAATGCCCTATATCGACTTCACGTCAGTCATTTAAAACACTTACAAAACTTTGTCTAAAAATTTATATCTAAAATCCCATTCTACAAGCGCTTTGCAGCTTTTGTAGAATCGTTGTTCAAGATTGTTGACATAAATTTATGTCGATATTTTGTTGACGATAATCTACAAAGATACAAATTACAGTTTTTGTGCAAATAGATCTACTTAATTGCAAGTAAACTTATGATCTTATTTTCATGATGTTCTTCACTTATATGATGTTTTACTGTAACTATAGTTTAGGATAAGATTTGGGTTTAATGATGTAAATATTTTGAAATTATACATGTAGAGCGCGAAAGTTTATCCTCTAGGAATATAAGTAATATCTTATTCAACTGTAAAAAGAAGGATATAAAATTTATATAATCATCGTTGAGATCGAGTTCAAGTCAATCGAACACGACTAACAACTTTATGTCATTTAAATTCTAGTAACTGCAATTAAAGTCCCGTACCAATTAGAACACTTCAGAAAAATCTTTATAATTCAATTATGTCTACAAACTGTATAGTGTTATCTAATTCAAGAATTAGAGAATAATTATTCGAGACTGTTGAAATAAATTAATTTCGACATTTTATTGATGATAAATGACCACAATTGGATTTATAAAAAGTAAAGATGATTGCTATAAGTTCTTTTTACTTTTAATTAAAGCACTTAATTAAAAATGACTCTTTTTAATTATTGAAGCAATTTGTTTTATTTACATAAAATTTTTGTTTACTTTTAGGTTATAACTTAGAAAGTACATTTCAGTGCACAATCAAATATAAAAGTAGTTCTATTGTCGATTTTCTTCTATAAGTGGATGCATAATTACAAATAACAAAGTAATTAATAGAATATGGTTCCCACGAGGACTAATTACATACTTAATTATACTTTAATTAGACCTAACTCTATTTCAAGAAAAATAACCTAATAATTTTCAAAGTAAATTTTAACTAATTATAATTATCTAGTAACACAATCAAAACAAACTATTTCTTTGAATTAATCATATTACAAAACAGACTAGAATCCCAAATTTACTATCTTTAACATACTTTAATCTTTAACTGCCTGTTTATAGCCAATTCTTTTTTATGTTACCAATCGATACTCCTTATGTGTTAGTTTTATTTCTCGACGTAAATTAAACCGATTCTTAAATTGTGCAGAAATTGTGTTAATTTTTGTTTGTATCATTTTCCTCTTAAATTATTTGTATCTCAAATTATCGAAATCGTACATTTTATGGTACACATTGATTTTTACCAAATTTCGTGGAAACTTCAAACAAAGACTTTAGTTTGCGTGCAATAGCCAGGAAAGAGAGGTATGAAACCAAAGAATGAATTATTGCCATTTTGTCTGTATGCCTGGAATAAAGTCTCTATTAGGACCCTCAAAGTTGCTAAGCTATTCAAGTTCCAGCAGCATCTAATTATTATTTTTATTGTTTTTTTCTGAAGAGTTTTGAAGACTTGGGTTGTTTCCTCATTTGCAATTATTCATGGAGTGGGTGAAAAGAAAGATAAGGTTCTTGAAAAGGAGGAATGAGAAATTGAAATTATCGCCTTGGTATATTGAAAATGGAGGCAGGGTGTTAGAAGGGCTTAGTGCTTTCTCTAATGGTAAGTATGATATTCCTTATCGCGTCTTTACCGTTGAAGAACTCAATAAAGCAACAAACGTCGATTTCCCTAGTCTAGGAGATAATGAGGATTCCCGATCTGTTATGCGGGATGAAATGGGCTATTACATCAACGGCATTTTTGAACAACGGTCTATTCTGGTGAAGAAGTTCTGTAGTTTTACTTTCGGAGGCAAAATGTCGTCCCATGCTGTGAACTAGGGTCGATCCTGTTATTTCCGGGACCTTAGGCGAACTTTGTAAATTAGGCCCCCCCAAAGTCAACGTAAATACAAAATTTAACGGGGTATTATGCAACGAATTGTTAACTTAAAACTAAACAATAAAACAACAAACAAAATATTGATTAAAATCCAAGCACGTTAAA